CTGAAGCACTGCTGCTTGTGCTGCTCCTTTGTTCCCTTGCAGCCCGCTGTGGAAACATTGTCGGTCATTTTTAGTGGATTATTTATTTTCTTATTGCGAATTTTTGAGTATTTTTTAGCTTTTAGGCTGAATTTTTTCCCTGCTTTCCCCCCTTTTTTAAACCAAGAATTCTAGGAATTTTGGAAAGTCTGGAGTGTTTCAGTGGAAGTTTTTGGTGTCTGGTGACTGATTTTAGTACTTTTTTGTCTTTATTTCCTTTGCTTGCACATCTTCTGGTGCTGTGATGAAAATTGTAGACACTGAAATATCAGTTCTGCAAATGCTTCTCTCCTGGCACCTTTCTCTGAGTGCAGCCAGCTAAGAGTTTTGGCCTCTGAGAAACAGAAAGTGACCACGAAAAGTAGAGCAGCAGAAAACCTGTGGAAAAGTATCTGCAGATGACTACGCAGAAAGAAGAGCGGCAGACCTGAATATAAGGTTTTCAAAGAGTGCTGGAAGAGCAGATAGCAGCACCAGCAGCTAGGGTTGCACTTCTTTCTTCTGACTGCTAACGAGAATTCAAAAGGCAAGGGCATAGAAAGCAAGGTTCCCTTGCAGCCTAGGCCCTGTGTGCACAAGCAGAGAAGTCTAGGGTTTGTTCATTTGATGGTAATACATTCCCAAGGCAAAAAACAATGAGTGCAATGGCAGAAGGAGGGCACTTGATAGCTTAGCTGCCAACATTGTATTATGTGCGAGAAGGAAAAGACTGATAACCTCCGGGAAATGAAAGCGCGATACAAGTACAGTGCTTGTGTGCACAACTTTACAGGCAACAAGAGGAAGATGACTGCCTCTCATTTGCCTTCCGTAGTGCCGTTAGCAGTCGGAAGGACCAAGTTCCACCACAGCTGCTTGTGCTGCTCCTTGGTTCTCTTCCAGATCTCCATGGAAACATTTGCAGTCACCTCCAGGCTTCGAGTTGCAGAGAACACCGTGGTAAATGCCACAGAGAAGGGAAACACAGGCTGCAGTGAGGAGCTGGAGCTGGCTTACGTGCAAGAAGAAGAAGGTGAAGCTCAGCACTGGCTCTTCATTCTGGCCCCCTTTTCCCTGGTAGCAACTCCTGGAAGTCCGCAACAGAGCTGCGAGAATGAAAAATGGAGGGCAGAGAGACACAGTGTGGTGTGCTCACTTGTAGGGCTGCTGACAGGAAGGGGTACTTTAAGAACGCCTTCTGCTTCATTGCCTCCTTCTCGGTTAGCTCAAGGTGCATGCTCTGCACCACACTGAAAGCGTGAGCAAGCACATTACCCCAGGTTTTGCCATGGCCTGCTGTGCAACACGTTTCTGCTATTTTTCCAAGCAGCAAGAGCAGTGAGATGTAAAAGTGATTTCGAAGGTCTTTTGCGGCCTTTCGTCTGCTATGGGCTGCACTACGCTCTCAAGCCTGCTACTCCGCGGGTTCGTTCTTTGCCATCTACGCTCCGGACAGAGGTGAGGTCCAGCGAGGAGGCTCAGCTTTGTGGCACTTCTGTGCACGCCTTTGCCTCAGCTCTACGTGCTAGCACACCACTCTCTGGTGCTCCGGGTCCAAAGTCCCTAGTGAGCTCGCACTCAGTGCAGTGCTCTAGGAGAGGTGCTTGCTCATCTTTCAAGCAAGGATTTGCTCACAGCAGCACAACCGGGCCGACGAGAAGGGGGAATGAGGAACATATCTTTGTCCTGGCATGTTGTCTTGGTTTGAAAGACAGGTATTTGCTAAAGGAAAGGCAAGAACCCCTTTCCTGAGATGGAGAGTGCAACCCCCGCCCTTCCAATTATTATAGTTTGAAATCAGAAGCTTTTAGGCAGAAGATATGGGGATAGGAATAACAGTTCTTTACTAATATATCTAACAAGGCAAACAGCAGAAACAACAACAGCTATAAAAATTGACAACAAAACAGAACAGTATAGCTCAGTTCCAGTCCCTTTTGGCCACAGGCTCCTTGTGCTCAGTTATCAGTGGTGGGGGCAGGGCAGGTTCTGCACAGTTGAAGAGGGCTGGGTGATGTTGGCGGCAGAAGCCTGGGTATGAGAGGGATGGAGGGGCTACTCCCTCCTCACGGTGTTGGTCATGGTGCTCGGCAGAGTGCCTGGAGGTAGTAGGATGAGGCGGGAAAGCAGCACTGCGATGTCCGACGGCAGGGAACGTGGCTCCCAGCCTTTGGATTGTGGGGAGGACGCTAGGTAGGAGCCCTGGCCATCTTCCTTCGACTCCATGAGTGAGCGAGAGAGCGAGAGAGAGCCAAGGCCCCTGTCCCACCTTTCCTTTCCATTCCCCCTGTTCCCCACCCCGCTGTGAGAGAAAATTATTGCTACAGAAGTGTAGCCACAAATACTTAGCATAACAATGGGAAAAATTCCACAGAAAGAAAAGGGAACAATTCAACCCCTAACAAGGGAGTACAGCACTTTTTAGTTGCTGTTGGGTACTGGTGATCATATGCACCTGGTTTAGCTGTGCTATTCAATCCATTACAAAAAGTTACCTGAGAAAAGACTAGTTTTGAATGGGGGTCAGAAAAGCAGACTTCTTTTGATAAAATGGAAGCACCCATTCAGGAACACAGTAAGTTGCGTATAATGGATCTGGGACCAGTAACTACAGGCTACCCTGCAAAGGGATATGGCCCTGTGGAGCTTTGGCAGCTCCAAGATGATCAAAGGTGACCATTAGGCTTTTGGTCTTTCCACCTAACAGATACACAGAGTAGATACACAGCAAAGGCCTTTGTTGGCTGTGTATTGGACTCTCCTTAATACTGTAGCCCTAACTGTGGGTTAGGAAGTGGTGGTACACAAGATGTGTCAGTAGTCACCTGGGCTTTAGCTCCGGTAGCCACTCACAAAATAGGGCATGCACAGGAGGCAACTACAGTAAAAACCAAGTGGTACATACAGGAAAGAGCAAAAACAGGGGTCAAAGGAGCCCTGTTGAGCTCATGAGCCAAGGACACACAGAGCCTAATCAGGGAAGACATACACAATTATCAAATGGGCTGGTGGGGACAACCCTATGACCAGCTAACAGACATTCAGAAACAAACTGCATGGATTACTGATGGCAGTGCAGGGATTCAATGTGGCAAGCCAACTGGGAGAGCTGCAGCAATCAATCCAGCTACACAAACATTACTGGTAGTTGAGGGGGAAGGAGGTAGCAGTCAGTTCACTAAATTAATGACAGCTTGGCAAGCCACTGATGTGACGCTGCCCCATGCTATTTGTTATCTGTATGCAGGTTCCTGGGCAGTAGCACAGGGGCTTGTAAATTGGCTAAGTAAATGGCATGCACAAAAACTGTTTGGGGAAAGAACTACTGGGTTCAGATATGGGATCTCTTACAAGAATGAGGATTCCATGTTGATGCTCACACTGCAGAAGAAGAAGAAACAAAAAGGTGGAATGTGCAAGTTGGCGCATATAGGAAGGCTGGATACTGATCCACATCAAGCAGACATGCAGATGTTAGCTAAATGGGCACATGAGACCGCTGGTCATGTGTGGGTCATGATGCCAGAGTTGCTTGGGCCAAGAAATGAGGCATACATAGCCAGGCTGATGTAGCTAACACCATTTTTAGTACACCTGATGTATGTCTCACACTTGCAGGACAAAGGGGTATGGGTACCACCAGTGGGACAAATCAAGAGAGGTAAAGGGCCTGTAGATGTATGGCTCTCTTCCCAAATATAGGCAACAGTGCTATGTTTGCATTGCAATTGATAACTTTTTGGTACTAGAGTAGCTGTCCCAAGTAGGTATAGCAGCAGCTATACAACAATACACAGTTTAGACACTGTTGAACTGTACTATGGGACACCTGTAGAAATGCAATCAGATAAAGGATCACATTTCAAAAACCAGCAGGTAAAAGCTTGGGCAGAGGACTGGGGAATAAATTGGTTTAGGCATTTGCCATACCATCCACGATGGGCTGGCCTTGTTGAGTGTCTAAACGGAATGCTTAAAAAACAATTACGGCACCTGGGAGACAACTCATATAAAAAATGGGTTGACCATTTTCTTGAGGCAATATGGATATCAAATAACCATGTTGTGGCTGAAATACAAACCCCCTTGGTATGTATGAAGGGCCCAAGTATTAGGTTCCTTGTCACATCAGTAACGTACTTGAATGGTCAAACATACCAAGCCCAAGTAGAAAGTGGGTATCTCTCTGTTACACAGAAAACTACACTCACATTCCACCCAGAAGAAGGGCAATGGGTGAAAACAGACCTTGTGATTAGAACATCAGAGGACCAACAAGTATTTTTATATTTTGCTTTTTACTCCAGCTTTAGTAGCAAGTGTACTTGTAGTATTAAATCCTGTACATCCACACCCTAAGGAGCCCTTAATTTTGGCCATTCAAAACACTCCTTCTTCTACTCGTATGCTCCCTAGTAGAACTCCAGGATAAATTTTCTTTTGGGTTATGCCTTCCATATCCATTCAAGGTCCTACACAGTTCTACTTTTCAGGTGCCAAGCTATAGTGTCAACACTCCATGGAAGCTGGTCCTATTGCCACTGAGGTGATGGCAGCAGAAACAAACCAGGCAGTTACTAGCACTGCTCCAGGAGAACAGTACTGGTGTTGAGTACCTGCTCAATAATTATGTTGGTGGGGAGCAGGAGAAGGGTGGGACATCTTCTGGTCTTTTGTTTATGTTTTAACAGGATACTTCCAACTCATACCACCTTGGAACAAAATGTCTGTGTGACCCCTGCTAAGGCAACTGGATAAACTACCTTATGCCTTAGCACTGCCACGCCTCAGAAACCATTCACAAGGTATCTGGTCAACATCCCTCTCACTGCTCATGAACTGCAACAGTTAAGTAACAGCACCCCTGCTTCTGTGGCTTGTCTGGCTACTGGAGTTTGGCAACTATTGTCTCACCTCGGGAAATCCTCTGCTTTACCCCCACAGGAGTTGCAAATTTCAGGCATCTTGAATGCAGATAGCTGTACTACCTTTAAATTTGTCAGCACAAGGAATAGCCCCATAGCTTTGGTGGGTTAATGCGACTTCACCGTGGTATCAAAATGCTTCACACTGGTGTAATTCAACTGCAGCATAACTAACCCTGACTTACAGTACATATATGTAACTCCCACTGGGTATCTATCTTCTCAGTCTGCAGAGTCTGAGCACAGGCCAGAGTGCCAATGGCAGTTAAAGGTGGTCCATGTACTTTGGGAAAATGAACCCTCTTATCTATAAATATAACACTTGCAGTATTGATCCAAAACCCCCAAACTTACCACCGTCACACTAACAGCATACATGCTTTTTACCCCTGACTGCAGGGACTGTTGAGTTCTGAAACACTGCTAAGATAATCACTGCCCTTCATTAGCTCACAGGGTTGAAAGACCACAAGCCGTAACAAGCCTGAATAAACTTGGCTGTTGGTTAGCAAAGCTAAGTAGTGCTAGCATAACTTTATCTGTCTTGTTAATTGATGCAGACAGTATTAGACACACTATGCTTCAAAATTGAGCAGTAATTGAATTTTTGCTTTTAGCACATGGACATGGATGAGAACATTTTGACAGGTTATGTTGTAGGAACTTAAGTGACCATTCCTGCTCTGCCCATGCACAGCTACAGAAATTACAGACACTTACTCAACAGCTTGTAGAAGACACTGGTTGGAATTACTTTTAATGAATGGACATGGGGTTGGAATTAGTTCAAAAAGATATTTTGTGCCTTAGGTATTATTATTATATATTAATTATGTATTATTTCTTGTATTCCTTATTTAATATAATTAATCTGATCTTTAAGAGATAGCATGTTGTATCATATTGTTGTTCATATGGTTGAATATTGACATGCTCCAACTATGCACCATGTGGTGGCATGTGTCAGGGACTGAAGTTGTGCCTAAGGCCCTGCTGTATTTGGGCTGCTGTTGTGCATGTTGACAAGATAATGAAGAACAATGAAGAAGACCTTATTGTTTAATTGGTGGGAACTAAACCCTTAAGAGAAACAAGATGTTGTTCAACTGATAGGAGGTTAACCTGTGGAGGACGAACAACACATAATGGAACTGTTGTTATCATAAGCCATTGCGGCCCCATCTCATGCAGTGGCCATGCATGAGATGACACTTTAAAGGAAAAAATTCCACTCCAGAGGAGGAGATATAAGGCTTGGTTCTGGGCTGGAGGGGGTGATGAGCACATGATGCACACCACTTCAATCCAGGGGATTCCCTAAAGGTCAACAGCCTACTCCAACTCCAACAGCCTACTCCAACTGCCCCTCCTGCCTGAGCCCCATGCTCCATCTTCTTCTGTTCAGCGGCTTTTCATGAATCAAGTGTCGATATGTATTATATGCTACAGCAACTAATAAAATCAAACTTGCTCTGCAATCACAATTGTATCTTAAGAGTTTTTTGCATATAGGTGTCTTCCAAAACATGTAACAGTGCCTCATGTGCTCCTGAAACACTGAGGGTATGTGAAGGCCTTGAGAGTATTAGGAGAAGTCAGGGCAAGGCAACCCTAGGAAACGCCAGGAGAAAAGTGGTCTTGAATTCCAGGTGAGGGAGGAGTGAACAAGGTAATGCAAGGCAAAGGAAGGCTTCAAAGGCAAGGCTCAGGACAGAAGCAGTTGCTGCAGTAGTACTTCTGTCTCCAAGCTTGTCACAGTGCAAGCTGGCTTGTACTGGGCAGTTAATCTAACCACGGACAGGAGAGGCAGCCTGCCTTGGAAGGCAGGCCCCAAAGAACAGAGATAGGACAGAATTGGAGACAGACAAGGATTTAATCCAATGAGTTCCATCCCTGGCTGCAGAGAGCTATTGGTCAGAGAGCTGAGCAGCCTGATCTGTGAGCCAATCATAGACACTTACCCGGGAACATTGAAAGGGGTATATAAAGCAAGGTCAGACGTGAATAAAGGCTTTTTGTCACACGGATTACAGAGTGTAGGTCTTCTGTCTCAGACTCTGCGCCGTCGCACGCAACACAAGCTTTCCAACAGACCACTGGAAAGTGCATTAAAGAGAACCTTGCAGTACACGTGCAGTTTCCAGCTTGTTGAAAGGACAACTAATGGTGCCTGCTTGTAAAGCTTGCCTGCTTATTAAAAGACAAGAACAGCAAGGTCAGAGAAGCTCTCTCTCCTAGCAAATTTCTCGGTGCGAACCTTTTCCAATCCACTTAAAGGGAGGAGAGCCAAGTTTGCCTCGAGCCACAACTGTGGAAAGAAACTAGGTTCTAAACATCTCAAACTGAGATTTAAACACAAAGGAGGTAAAATGTTGGGATCCAAAGTGATAATAAAACCTAATTTTTTTACAGAAAAGAAAGTGAGAAAATAGAAAAGTAGGAAAAATGCCCAGAATAACTATGAGAAGCACAGGAAAGGGGTTACCACCATGGGTCCAGCACTTGCTTTTAAAGTGTGATGGGGGAGATCTTCATCGAGTGGGATGGGTCTTTCTCTGGTCCCTCTGAAAGCAATCAAACAAGCCAGAGAGGGAGTAAAGCCGCAGCAGCAGCACCAGCGGTGGGGCTTGGTGTTGGTGTCTGTGGGAGCATGAGCAGCCTTGCAGGAGCAGCCAGGACAGCAAAGGACAGCACAGCAAAGATTCTGGCACTAAGTAGATTTTAGCAGCGCAGCTACACATGACCGTTTTGGCACTTGCTTATAGAGGGTCTTGAGAGTGGTGGTTGTCACTTCCGGTTCATAAAGTTAATTGGCTGACATGCCTGATGTAAGGAAAAGTTTACTGTTTGCTTGATGGGGTTACAAAAGTTTGCTGTTTGCTCACCTCATGTATCTGCTGCTACCTCTCTTAATGAATCAACATTTTACTGCTCCCTCGCCTGCTAAATCCAAAGCCTGGAATTAGCAAGATTAGTGTATCAACTACAAGCTCCAGTAATAACTTTCAACAGGATGCCTCATTTTCTAAAATAAAGCAGTTTCTAAAGGTTTTGTTAGAGGTAATGTACAACTTTAATTTTCAAACCTTAATCTTCAAAGGGGCAATGGGGAAACATTGTTTACTTTTAACTCTTTCACTACAGAGCCATAGCTGGAAAACTTTGAGTTTAGATTCAAAGTGTCAAAGCGTCTTGGAGTGCCCCAAGACCACAGTACCTAGAGCTGAGAAGGAAAGTGCCAACCACTGGTGTCCTCTAGGACCAGCAGTGTCAGCTAAGAAAATCTCCCTTGCTCAAAATCCAACAAAGTGATCAATGTCACACATGCTGGAAATGTGCATCTTCCCTCAAGCTCTAGTTACCAGCATAGTCTTTCACTCTTGCAGCTCCCAAAAGGCTTAAAAACATCCAGCACCTGCTTCCTTGCAACAAGTCCTACAGCTAAAATCCAGGTCTGGCCTTCACCTTTCTGGGAATCAGCCTGACTGGTATTCCAGGTCAGGCAACCATTGGTGAAGAAGAGTTGTATCCCAACCCTAGACCGTGGGAAGCTTTTGTTTAAGTTGTGGTGACCCCAGAAAAAAAATTATGGGATTGTCCATGTTAATATCTGATTTGATAGTCAAGTATCACCGCTCCCACACCCAGAATGTTCTCCCTTCCTTGTGTTCCTATTGGCCCCCAGTTGGTGCAATGTTCCACCCCACCTACCCCATTGGACCTTGCTTCCACTTGTCCCACCTCTACACCACTTTCTGCTACACCCATTGGACCTTACTTCAACCCCACCTCCTCTCATACCCAATATTTTAACCCTGGACCTCCCTTGAGCCCTGTCTTTGACCACCAGCCCTTAAAGAAACCTCACCCCCTTGGTTATTGTATTTGGATTTTTGGGCCTCTTCCCACTTTCACTTTAACTGTTATTAAAGTGTTTTATGTTACCAAGCCTTGGTCATGGTACTGCTCTTCTTTTATTTTGCCGCTTATACCCTGAATATCTGAGAACCCCAGAAAGGATTATCGGGGACCACCCTCGACCCCGATACACCTTCACCTTCCCCTTGCAGCCTACAGACTCTGTCAGATACACTTGAGTATATACTGGGTGAGTCTCACTTTCCTTCTCAGCTATGTGGAAGAGCACAGGCTCTCAGTAGTGTAGCAAAGTCCTTAGCGAAACCAAACAGCCATTCTACTTCAAATCACTAAGTGTGCCAGGACAGAAAGCTTTTGCTGACCTGCCCGCTTGCCTTTTCCTTGCAGTGTTTCATCTTCAGAGCACACACTGAATGCACTTTGCTTCTCAGCTTAGTGTATTGTCATATTGCCGGAGAACCATATATCCATCTCCTTCTTGCATAGACGAAGTGCTTCTGTGGAAACATGCCGATGCTATGCGCTTTCCTTCTCAGCTATTCGCACCTTCACATTCTGTGTCTTGCTTGCAGTCTGAAGTTAATTAAGGACTTGCTGACTACCTCCTGCAGGAATAGATGCACCAGCTGGAAAAGATTGCTTAGACATTGTCACTTATGTAGAAAAACTGCACAATCAAATGACAGCTTTCTTCACTCTACATCCTGCCAACTTCACACCCACACCTGCACACCGCCCCCCCCCCGCCCCCCCCGGAGTTATGCACTTCCTTTCTTTCTCACCTGAACTCACCCGTCTCTCACCTTGACTTCTCTACCACTTTTCTCATGGCCTTGCCATGCATGGGCTGCTCCTCTCAGGACATCCATTGTGTTGTTATCTCTCCCTTACATTGCCTTGCCTTTCCTACCCAACCCCTTGCATTTGCTTGTCATTCCTGACCATTCCTTTCCTTTGCCTTCCTAACACATCCATGTCCTTCCTCTGTCCTTCCTACCAATCCAGTGCCTTCCCCTGACTTGCTCGTGCATCCCCCTCCTCGACTTCCCTACTGCTCTTACCCTGGCCTTATCATACCTGCAATGTTTTTTTTAGGACACCCGTTGCCTTGTCTACCCTGCCGTTGGATTTCTTTGCCTCGCCTTTCCTACACAACCTCAAATTTTCTTGCCTTTCCTGACTTCCTTTATTTTGCCCTGCTTCCCCACACCTTGCATTGCCTTCCTGCCCACTCTGTAGCCTTCCCTTGGGCTTCCTTCTCTCCATTGCCTTGCATTGACTTGCTCAACCTTCCCTTGTGGAGACCTTCAAAGGCACTGCCAGTTAGAAAGATACGAGAAGCCACTCAATTATCTCCTTTTAATAACGAATACTGTTCTATCAGGTCAAGACAACCCTTGTTCTGTTCCTTAGGACAGCCCCCTGCCCTCTCCCTGTCTGTCAGCCTTTTGGTCACTCCCACTCTGTTTCCCTGTTGGCCCCTACAACCTAACCCCATCCTTGTGAAACCCCCATGTATTTAACCTAGACTCCCAGACCAACGGTCTTGCCTTTGCCTCTGAACTCCTGGACTATGCACATGCATGGCTGAAATAAAAATCTTTGTGCAACCCATGCAAAGGCCCATTCCTATTTTTTTACCTGCTACACCTCAACAAGAACCCCAAGATCACAACAATCCCCCACATGACTTTCCTTCCCATTTGCCCAGCTCCAGCCTTGCCTTTCCTTCTCCTCCTAGGACTCTCATTGCCTTACCTATAAATCCCTTGCCTTGCCTTGCTCTTGAAACCATTCCTTGCTTTGCATTACCTTGCTCACCTGTTGCCCACCTGGAATTCAGAACCTCTTTGTTGTGGTATTTTCTGGCCCTGCTCTGCCTGCTCCTCCTAGGACTCCCAAGGCTCTCATGTATCTGCAGTGTTTCAGGAGCATGTGAGAAGAAACCCAGGGGAGGTTTCATGCAGCCAAACCCATCTTTCTGGGCAGCTTTTGTCTGGGACCAGTGCTTTGCATGTTTTAAATTTTCTTTGAGATATCCTGGTGGAAGAGAGTGGGACATGTAGTGTTATATGGAATAAGCAGTCTTTTTCTTCCATGCCTAATCCCATGCCTGATTCGATTAATTACCTATGTAGTTCAAAACATGCAAATAATAACAGTGCCTATTAATCCAGAACTGGGAAACTGTAGAAAGAGAACAGAACATTCAGGTATTAAAAGGAATGAAAGAAGGTACAGGCCTAGAAATGGCATGTAAAATCTATGAAAGGTATCAGTATGCTAAGAATGCAAAGTTCAAAGGTTGTAGCACAAGCCAAATACAGTAAAAAGAAAAGGGGAGAAATTATCAAACACTTCAATGTGATATTGGCTTTCACATTTATGTATTAGATTTTGCATGCTGGTATTGACCATAAATATTCTGATACAGTACAATGTATAATTCTATTTAGCTGTTCATTAGTATAACATAATCTATTAGTTTAAGTATGTACGATATAGTTTATAGAAATAGTGGCATGATGAATGTATTAAATTGTAGGCCTCAGCAAAAGCATGAAATGTTTAAAATGCTGCTATGTGACTGAAAGAATGGTGGGAGACAATTATATTGATTCCCACATCTGCTGACTGACCTCTCCAAGAGATAACAGTATCAAAAACAGACCACTGGAGAAGAGTATGCCAGCAACTTATCAGAGGATGTGGAGCAACAGGATGGAGACACAAAAAGAAATAAAGCATATCTCACAGGATGTTGTGCGGAAAAGTATGAGTGTAAAGAAAACAAACCAAACAGTTCCTGAAACATCAAAAACTCACAAGACTGTCTGAATAATGTATGAATCACATGAATATGTATGTACCTCAGTAATGTAGCAGTATATAGATCACACTCTCTGACTTTAGCGACATGCTTTTTGGCCAAAAGCCAAGAGCACCCTAGCGCTGGTTAATTTTTTTTTTTTTCATTTCTTTTTTTATCCCTTATTAAACTTCTAAAAAATTCCAAATTGCAAATCTTGTTGTTTTAAGTACATGACATGTTGTTGGCTTTTTGCAAAAATTGGGATAAATGCTATATGTATAATATTGAAATAGCTTTTCTGTACGAATATAGTTTTTTTTCTTTTCTTCTTTCTCTTCTAATAGCAAAAGTTAGACATAAGTTTTTTGAGATGGTATGCTTAAACTACCCGCTTAGTTGAGATAACAGCCCGTGAACGTGTGATGGGAACCCTGCAGCTGACACGACAATTATCAACACTCACCGGTTGCAAAAGGCCTGGACCACCACCCAAATTAAAAGGTCATAAGAAGAGGATTAAAACCACAAGCCAAGAAACACACATGCTCTAAAAAGGCGGATCCAAGGAGTGGCCATACTAAACGGTTCCCAGAAAAAGTTGACTATGCATGAAAGACTACGAATATGCAACAGGTTGATGTATTGTAAAACGTATTTAAAGGAGCATTCCCAAAGCAGCCGTGTGTTCTTGGCAGCATGCCAAGCACCCAGCCGTTTTAACCCTTTGCTTTATGTTTGTCTCCTATTGTCTTTTTATTAAACCTTTTAAATTTGAGAGGAATGTTGAATTTGTCTTTACAAATGAGCTGTGGATCTGCTTGTAGATAAGGCTAGCACTGAGAGATGAAAGAAACAATGGGATGGATTCCACTGATTGATGAATGGAAAAAGATATTTGCCTTTACAAACAAACTGTAAGGCTGCTGATAAATGAAATTGGATATCGAAAGATGAAAGAAGCAACGGGGGGAAAACTATGAATTCTATAAGAATTAAAAATTAAAAGGGAGGGTTATACATTAGAGGGGAATTTCAGGTATCAGGCGTTCCGGGAAGTCTGTGCCTCTCAAGTACTTCAGCCAATGGGGAAAGAGAGAGGGAAATGCGGCCGGGAAAATAGGATAAAAAGGAGGCTGCCTCCTCCAAAAATTTGAGAGATCCCAGGGGAATGTCCCATGGCCTCTCCCTTTATTCGAATAAAGCAAAAAGGACTCCTCTGTCTCCTTTTTGGACATAAACCTCTGGTGTTTATGGATTAATTTTCCTGACAAATTCTACCAGGACAGTGAACCGTGTTTTTCACATTGTTTATCACGGTGGTGTTCCCAGGTGCGCGAACACGGGCTATGGGCTCAGCGGGCGCCGACAGGCAGCAGTGGGAGCTCCTCTCTCTTCCGAGGTCCTGTGACGGCCGCCATCTTGAGTATGGCCCCCGCCCCGTGCCGTGTTGTGGCGGGCGTCCGTCACTTCCCGCCGCCTCCTCGCTGCCTTCTCGCCCCCTCCCCATGCTCCCCTTCGGCCAGGCGAAATGGAGGAAAGCAGAAATGCATCGAGGAAGAAAGAGCAGTCGGCAGAGCTGCCTGAGCCATCGCCCTGCCCGCAGCCGGGAGCAATCAGCAGGAGGAGGCAGCTGCTCTTTTTGCCAGAATGATGAGAGATACGGAGGAGAGGGGGGCATAGTTTGCTGGGTAGAGCTTCCCAGGGAGAATTCCAGCTCCCTGCTTTCAGCTGTCGCTGAGTGCTGCATGGAGTCCGAGCTGAGCCAGCTGGGAGCGGTCTCCAGGAGCTGCTGCTGCCCAAGGGGCAACTCGCAGCAGACTGGTGTCCTCTGTGTGTGGAAGTAGCTGTAGTGCTGGTAGCCGAGTGCAGTTTTTCCCTGGATTTGTAGCAAATGTGCTGTCTCAAGCTGGGAGCGCTGGGTTCCGTGGGTGGAAAGTCCTTGAAGTAGCCCCTTTGTGAAGCTGCTGAGAATTCGAAGCCCAGTGTCCCTGTGATTCTTGATACAATGTTTAAATAGTTACCACTGACTAGAGATAGTATCAAGTCGATTTGTTGGAGTGGCAGAAATGAGCGGAAAAGTGGCTTAACCTCCCTTTTCTCCTCTCTTTCAGGACAGGAAAAACCACTGAATGCTGGAGTCAGTAAGTCAGGAGTCTCTCTGATTTCTTCAGAGAGAAATCAGAATGCAGGGATTGAGTTGAAACCTTTAGATAGATTGAAGTATATTAGGCCTCTCACTTATAAGCAGAGGTGAAGATTTAGATTGTAACATAAGAGAGAGAAAATAAGTAAGTAAATGGAATAAGTTTTAAGTGCTTTTAGCGAGTAAAAGGTCTTAGACGCCAGAGAAGTAGTACATGTTCTAGTGAAGGTTGAAAAACATGCTGGTGTTTTCTTAGAGGCTCCAAGAACCTAGCTTCAGACATAATAGAGTTAAGAATATTGCTTACATTTTTCAGTTAGAACAAGATAGGCCATGAACGTAGTCTATATGTAGCCTGGCGTGCTAAGAAACCAGAATTCTAATAGGTTAAAGAGTAGTGGTCTGACTTTGTGTCTTAGCTAGTTGGAAAGTTTCTATAAAAGAACATGCATCAGGGAGAGCTGGGGCTCTATGCCATGGCTTTATGCCATGTGCATTTTGCCATTGCATTTTGCCACTGCAGCTTTGCCATTGCTTTTAGCCATTGCTTTGCCTTGCTTCGTATTTGCTTTTGAGACTGACGTGCTTCTGCAATAAATAACTTTACAGCAACTATTAGTCGCTTTGCTTTTTACATAAAAGAAGAAGAAGCCCAACAGTGTGGGTGCACAGGAGGCACCCGGAGGTCCCCAGAAACCTCACAACGGAACTCGCTCCATCTTTGCCAAGAGCTTTGGCGTTGCAGCTGCCAAAGCCAACGAGGACCCCTTTGGT